TGTATTTTTAGTAGAGACGGGGTCTCGCTCTTGCTCAGGCTGGTTTCGAACTCCTGAGCTCAAACAATCCACCCGCCTCGGCCTCCCAGAGAGCTAGGATTACAGGCGTGAGCCACCGCGCCTGGCCTAAAATACTTTTTTTAAAAAAACTTTAAATAGTAAAAAGTAGAAAAGAGAGAGAAATAATTTTAAGAACACCTATTTACTTTTTAAATTTCCTACCATTTTTCTGCAAAGCTGAAGTTTTCTATATAGGGATATTAAATGATATTCTGATTTTTTTTTAACTTTCTTCCCCCATGTTATTACCGTGTTTTCAAAAGTATCTAAAATTTGGAAATCAGGCAAAAAGATGATTACGTGTCCTTTCAATGTCACACTGGAGCATTCCATACCCCCTTTCTACTCAAAGTGCGGTCCAGGGACCAGGAGTGTTGCATCAACGGGAGCATATTTGAAATGTAGACTCTCAGGCCCCGCTCCAGGCTCGCTAATTCAATCTACATTTTACTAATAACAAAGTTCCTCATGTGATTCTTACACACAGTAAAATCTGAGAAGCACCGATCAACCAGGCCTGCCTTATAACTCTGCAGAGCCCAAATTGTGTGAAGTTACATATTAACTTGTAAAAGATTGTTAAGTTATAAATGACTCTTGCCAGTAAAGATAAAGATGATTTTGTGTTTGAAAATATAATCCCAAAGGTTATAGTTTATCACTTTGCAGGATATTAGCCAATTGTGTATTTGATTTAGTAATCTGATTTCGGCATTTTTTTTTTCTGTGACTACACACTTTTTTCAGATCCTTCTTTAAACTAGCTTCACCATCCTCTGAATCCCTCAATAATGAATTAAATAAATCTTTAACACACATTCACTGTATATTTGTATGAGAATCATATGTTTAACTTTTTGAAAATTATGCCCTGACAGCCAGCTTTATTGTCATCATTTCTAATAGCTCTGATATTCCATTTTGTGATCAACCATAATTTGCTTATCTGTTACCCTATTATTAGACTTTTAGGATATTTCTAATTCTGCACCAGTATAAATAATTCTGCAGTGAACATCTTTGAGCATAAAACTTTTACTGTATTTTATATTTCTTCCCTTTGAGTATTCAAGTACAGAATTAATAAGTCACAGGGTCTGAACGTTTTTAAGATGGGCAATAATGGAGCTTGTCAAACGAGCAAGGATGGAAGGTCATTCTGGGTGGCAAATGCAGCCCACAGAGAGGCTGGGGACCCTCATGGGGGAGAGGATGCTGACTGGCTAGACTGTGAATGTGTGTCTGGGGAGGGGCTGGAAAGGCAAGAAGAAGACAGAGTGCAAAGAGCCTGGCATCCTGAATGAGACGCTCAGCATAAAAAGAAGCCATTGATAGTGTAACTTGAGAAGTGACACGATTAGACCTGTGTTTTAGAAAGACAACTCTAACAGCAAGGGGTCCTCTCCAAGCCTCCTGAAATAGTGTTGGTGAGAGGAGACCGAGGCCTGAACTGGGGTAGTAACTGGGGGTAGAAACAGAGGACGAAGAGAAAAGGTGTTTAGAAAAGTGCAGGGGCTTAGCCGCGATCTCCCAGCTCATGAGCGGTGGATTCGAGACTCGATCGTCAGTGTTTCCCGACTCTCCATGTAGTTCCCTCCTTTGGGTTTTGTTTTTTAATCTAAGATGCGACTTCTTAGAACTGGAGGATGCTCATATCATCATCCATGGATGAGTTTATTGGAGTCATGACGTGAGAGATCAGGCTCTGCCAAAGCGTGCAGCACCCGTCCAAGAGGAGGAACAGCATCTCTAAAAATAATAAGAGATGAAGCCCACATTCCAGGGAAGTGACAGGCATTCTTGTGGAATCTGCCAGACTAAACTGCAACAGCTACTCTAACCTTTTCTGTGACCACAAAGCCAGACCTCCAACGTGGCTTTGCCGGGATACAGATTTCAGTGTCTCTGAGAAGCCATCTGGGTTAGCACAGGGGCCGGACTTTACAGCCAAACCCCACTGAGCTCCCAGCCTGGCTCAGCAACTCCTCGTCAGCAAGAAGGTTTAGCAGACCTTTATTACACGATCCCGTACCAGGCACTTTCAGAAAACGGTCACATCTTCCATTTTAGAACCCATTTCACAGAGGAGGAAACTGGGAGTTGTATCTCGGTTGCCTGAGGCGGCAGCAGGACCAGGATTAAAGCTGGCCCACCTCCCACTCCATCTTTCTTCATAGCTCCTCACAGTTCATCTGGACAAGAAACTATGAGAAATTGTGGATGTGGGAGGTGATTTGATCCACAGCTTTTTAGGGGCAAGAACTCAAAGACATGAATCTGCCTGTCTTTAATCACTAATTTGAACCAGATAGAAAATAGTGGATTTAGGATAACAGACCTCAGAGCCTGTTCCTGTGCCACCACCTAACCCAAATGGTCTACCCTCAGGATTGCCTACTGTCTGAAAGTCACACCTTGTAATAGTCCTGAACTGGAAACCACCTCCATGCCCACCAGTGGAAACCTGGATAAATAAACAGTGGCGCATCCACACAGTGGGGTACTATGCAGCAAGGAAAGCGGGCATGCTACAACCTGCAGGAACCTCCCGAACATAATGTCGAGAGAAGATAGCCAGACACAGTAGTAGTTCACCCAGTGTCATTCCATTTATTACGAGGACAAAGTCAGGTGATGCTAATCTAGGCTGTTAGCGGTCAGGGGAGTGGCTACCCTCAGTGGGGGTGTGACTGGGAGGGTGAAGGGAGCTTCTGGGAGCGGTCACATTCAGTTTCTTGATCTGGGTGCTGGCTACACACATGCATTTAGCATTCGGTGTGTGAAAACTTGGTGAGCTGTATACTTAGGATATGTACACTTCTGTCTATGTATATTAGATTTCAATAAATAATTTTTAAAAACTAAAAGGTAGCCAGCCATGCCCAACCTCAAAATAATCTGCCCGCAGCAATGATAATGATGCAAACAGGCACACCCTCCATTTGCCGAGGGTGGGCTCTCTGCCAGGTGCTGTGCTGGGGGCTGTATGCGCATCATCCTCTTTAATTCTCTGGGGAGGTGCTATTCTACTCCTGTTTTACAGGTGAGAAAACTGAGGCACAGAGAGGTAAAGTATCTTGTCCAAGGTCACACAGCTAGAGCGTATGTGCTACAGTGAGGCCTCATTTCTGTTCCCAGAAATGCCTGATGTGTTTTGTAGGCATTTGTCTTTCGTTTGTTCCCACAAAGGAAGGAATGGTTTCTGCTCTGCCTGATTTCCCTTAAGATAATGCTCTGGATTCAGGATCTGCAGGTGTAACCATGGCAGCCTCTCTGTCTCACGGATGACTGTCTACCCCCACCCTGGTGCACACACACACTCTCCTACCCCAGCTGGGGGAATGGGGACAGTGAGATAGAGATGGTTGCATTTTCTTATCACCAGGGAAGAGACAGTAAATAATCCATTTAATTGATGTATAGTATATAAAGAACATCACCATCACTTGGTGGTGACAAGCTTATATTTGAGGGTTTGAAGTTGGCTAAGATCTGAGTACAAATCCTGACTCTACACTTGAGCTGCACAGCCCAGAGAAAATCACTTATCCTCTCTGGACCTCCATGTTCCCCTCTGTAAAATGGGTATTGAAAACCTCATGGAGCGGTTTTATGAATCAGACAAGAGATTGCAAGAAAAGCACAGAACCCGACACAGAGGAGAGTCAATAAATGTTACAATGAGATAGGAGCCAGACCCTCAAAAGGTTAAATAAGTGGTGCTGGGTGGTAACAAGTCAGTATTATGCCCAGTCACTGCTTGGGCTCGAGCAAGGGGCTTCAGTGATCAGCGAGGCTTCCCGGCAGAGGCAGATCATCAGCTGACCTCAGGGATTGAGCTATGTTTTAGACAGGCCTCTCCCAAGGCAAGAATGGACATTCCAAGGAGACGACACAGCTTGAGCAAAGACCTGTGGTTGCACTAGCCTGTCTGTAGCCAAGGGAGACGATGACTTCCCAGAGCTGGGATTCTTGTCTTTTCAGCAGTGGGGAGCTTGAATGGGACAGTGGCATGGTAGGGAGGGTTATTAGGCAGCAGAGGACATAGTAGATGCTTTGAATTCAACAAACCAAACTCCACTGTGACCAGGAGGGCTAAAGCAAAGCTGAAGGGGACGGTCAGTGGTGAGCTGACACATGTTTAATAATCAGTTCTCTGGCAGGAGGGTAGGGGAGCCTGATTTGTTTGCCGATTTCTGTGGTGTAAATACTCGTACCATGGCCCATTTTAAAGTAACATCACCACCTCGCAGGATGCAGAATTGGGGAGAGATGCAGTGGGCTCTCATGAGCTGATAGGAGCCAGCTCCAGCGCACCACTGAGCTCCAGTCAATACTGGGAAAACTTAACTCGCTTCATTGAGACATGGGCTCTGATGGCATATGGCTCCCCTGGGAAACCACAGCGCAGCTTCTGAAATGAGTTCCTTCAGTGTGCCAGGCACTGCCATGAGACCCAAGGCACACTGTGTCCTAGCCCTCGTGGAGTCCACAGTCTGATGGGGAAACTGGTATTAACCAAATAATTCCTCTAAGTTACACATTGAGCTGAACACTTGGAAGGAAGTACTGTCTTACATGGAGAGCCCCATCATGTTCTTTGTTTCAAAACAGAAATAAAAGGTAAACTGTTGTTGTCTGTTCTTAATTAGGAACATAGTGTGTCCTCTAAGTTTTTCATTACATTTTTGTTCATTTCATGATATTTGAATCAGAGTTGTTGTCCTTACAACTTTTTCAAGACCTGGCTTGAATTTCAAGTGGCTTTTCATGTGCTAGTGAAAAATGCATCAGTCTACAATCAGAAAAATGCTCCGCAGAGTACAACACAGTCTGGACATTTGTCTCTAGTTCTCTCGAACGTCAGGCCCAGCCTGGGCTCCATCTCTCTGTGGGTGCTTCCGTTCGGGAAACATTTTCACTTCTGTATTGCCTCCTAGGTGGTCTTCGAGGCCTTGCACAATCTGGAGCCCCGAGGCTACGTCGTGGGGTGGATCATCGCCATAAGTTTGCTGGTGGGAATCCTCATCTTCCTGCTGCTGGCCGTGCTGCTCTGGAAGGTGAGTCACAGGTCCCCACTGAGTCTCCACCCATGGACACCCAGCCCTCCTGCCTCCCCAGGATTAGAGCACTTTGGCAGAGTTTCCTGTTCTCCCTCCTTGGCACAGGTACCGTGGAGGGCAGTGTCCCCTTCAGGCAGAGAATGGAATCTTGGCTTTCCTTGAGGTCATTCATAACTGAGGGTTTGGACCACTTTAGAGGGACAGCAAAAGTCTCAGTCCCCTCTTCTCTTACCTTCCCTAAGAGAGTTACGCCGGTGCTGACATAGGACGGTGGGAACCTAACTCCAAAACAGCAGACCGGGAGTCACAGCTGGGGAGGCATGGTGTACCATTCACTTGAAGAAAGAATAAGAAAGAACTCTAGGGCAAGTCTTTTTTCTTTTCCCCAGTGGAATATGAGAAGGATTTCTGCCCAGAAGGCTCAGTTGGAATCCCAATTAATTTCTCTGGGATTACAACTGAGATGGGCTACAAACCTAGAGCACTGCCTGGGTAGCTTCATCAGTTCTCCCAACCCCACGGTGGTTCATTTATAGATGACCCGAGGTGTAGACCTGCCCTGCCTCCCTCGCCAGGGAACACCTGCTCTTTCATGTCTTGTCTCAAGTGTCACTCTGTCAAGGAGAAAGGGGCATCCTCACCCCCAAGCCTAGGAGGATTTCTTTGCCTTCCACGCTCAGAGATCTAGAGTCCTTTTACTTCAGAAGCCTCCATATTCATCAGTGATGGTATCAGAGTCGTTATCTGATGAAGGCCTGTCTCTTCCACTGGGCAGCGATGTTCCGGTGAATGGGGCCATGTCTGTCCTTGTTCCTACTGTGTCCCCAGCTCCAAAACAGCTGGGGGCCATAGCTGGGACTTCCTGACACCAAAACCCTTGCTTCTTTAATATTCTATGTTTCAGATGCAGGTGGAAACAGCCTCTTAGATTATTATGGATGGATATTTTAAAATCAAGTAATTAATTTCTTTGGGATTACAAAATGTGTATTTATTGTCCAAACGTGATAACATATCAATAAGGAAAAAAGGTTGTAAAACATTTAGGAGTTCACATCCCAAAAGTAGCCATGATAACCACAGCACTGTCTCTTTTTGACCTTTTTCCCTGCATGTATAGATGTAGACCACGCATTCTCATAGGATCAGCTTATTTTTCAATAGTGTATTAGTTAAATTTTCCAGTAATATATGCAATATAGTTTCAGGTGAAGTGCCTCTAAATTTAAAGCAAGGGGTTCAATTATTACTCTGGAAAAAATGTGACAAGTACACCTCAGACTTCCCAGGAAGTCTAGAAATACAGGAAAAATAATGTGTTTGTTGTACTTCTTTCAGATTAACAATTGGATCCATTGCTTTAAATTTAGAGATACTTCACCTAAAAAGTCATGTGAAGGTTGAAGAAAATACATTGAACATATTACTTGAAAATAAGTTTATCTTATGTTCCATGCTTTTCGGACATCCCGTGTAGTGTTTTGCAACCCATTTTCCCCTGAAGACAATACTGTGAACGTCTTTCCATGTTGCTCAAAGCCTGTTTCCAGCCCTGTCTTAAGGCTATGGAGTGTCTGCAGTTTACCCATCCAGTCCCTGATGTTGGAATTTAGGTTGCTCCTGGTGTCACACTTCTTTAACAGTGCCACAGTAAATATCCTTGGAGCCAAATGTTTGCACAAAACCCTCATTATGTCCTTAGGACAAAACCCTAGAAATGGAATTACAGAGCCAAAAGGAATGGGTGTTTTACGCCTTTATTTATTGCAAATTGCCCTGTAGAAAGGTTATACCAATTCACCCTCCCACAAGCAGTGTATCAGAAGCGTCTGTTTTCCTGTATATTTGCCAATAGTGGAAATTACCTTTTTTTTAAAAATCTGCCAATTTCTTGTTTATTTAATCTGCATTGCCAGAAAGATTCTTAATTCTCCCTTTTCTCCAACTCCAACTCCTTCCTGCTGAGACAGCCTCTGGTCTGTGGGTGGAGAACAAAGCCTGCTCAGTGTATGGGTCTGAAAAGACAGGCTTCTCGCTGAGCAGCAAGGGGGTGTGTGTGTGTGTGTGTGTGTACTTCCTTCTGCTTTCTGTGGGCTCTTAAAATGAGAGGAGATGCTGTCCCCCATAGGTGGGTGTGTAGACCAGACAGGGCAGGGAGTGTGTGGCCATGCCCCCGCCCCCATGGCAGGCATGCCCACTCAGGGGTGTCCCGTCTCCTCTGCATACGCCCACCTCCTCCCGCCTGCCATCTGCTTTGCTTCGCTCTTGCAGTGTTTGTTTAAAGAAAGTGTGGTTACAGAAGATGGCTGTCATGGGTGGCCAGACCCCTGAGGTCACCCAGCTGGGTGGGATCTGAAGAGCCAGGATCCAAGAAGGCAGACTTCACCCTCTGCCAGGACGTGGAGGGCGACTGGTCACGGCAGTGAAGGAGCACACCACGTGCCTTAACCCAGACAAGGCCTTGCCTTCACTAACAGGTGGAGGGAAGCTTTGCGGAAGCTGTTCAGCAAGGCCACATGGGTCAGAACGGCTTTGCTAGTCATCCCAGAGCAGTATTTCATTTCCACTCGTGTTTGTTGAACACTTTGTCCCAAGCACTGCACTAGGCTGCAGGATGCGACGATGACTGTGCCCCTTCCCTGCCCGTGCCAGCCTCACCACCCAGCATAGTGGAGGGTGGCGAGTGCCCTGCGGTGACTGCTCTGGAAGCTGAGAAGGCGCCATGAATCCCCCTCCCTCGCCCCCGTGAGGGGAGTGGGGTTAAAAGGCCGCACAGTACAGTGAGCGGATGGGCTGACAGCTGTGCTCTGTAGTCCCGGCTCTCTCACTTGCCAGCTGTGAGGCCTTGGGAGTGTCGCCTGCCCTCTGTGACCCTCAGTTTCCTCCTCTGTGAAGAGGAGACAAGCACATCCAGCAGGGAGAATGCTTAGCACTGTGCTTAGCACGTAGAAACCCCCAGTGGAAGTCAGAGGACGTTTCACAAATGAGGTGTCACTCACGTCTGAGCTCGGGTTGGCTTTGAGTTTTCCGGGCAGGGAAGGGCAGGTGGTTATTCCATCCAGAGGGAAGAGGAGGTGAGAAAATAAGCCGTGTTTGTGTGGAGCAGCCTGTGAGGTGTGTCACAGGAGGGCAGTCGGTGACCCGCAATGAGACCAGCTACCGCCATTGCGAAGGCCTCACTGACCAGGACAAAGGGAGAGTGTGGGAGGCCTGTAAGCGGAGCTGCGGCCTGGCCAGATCTGTGTCAGGAGAGCGATCTGGGGACAGAGTGGGGGTGAGGGCCGTGTCCATGGGTGAAGAGGAGGAGACCGAGCTAGAACAGGCGGATTTGGTGACGAGTTAGACTTGAGAGGTCGGGGAGATAAAAAGCGTAGCTGTCTGTCCCTGTTACTGTTCAGACAAAGGATGGTTGCCCTTACCCAGGGTGGGGAAGGCAGGATTCGAAGTCGTTTTTCCTTCTAGAGTAGCTCTTGACGTGGCTACCTGTGACTGCTTGCCCCTGCCTTGAGCTCATGAGCCAAAGGTAGTTATTCCCAAAAATGTGTTGCATAACATGAACTGCACCATAGCGCTGCAAGCTGAGCAAGGCCGCTGGCTGCGCCGATGCATCCATAGTACCACACAGGCCTGCGATGTCTGCAAGGTGGCCAGCACCTTCATTCGGCACATGGCATCGCGTCCCTACTAGGTGGCAGGCCCTGGGCAAAGGTTCAGAGATAAAAACAACAGAGGTAAAACAGAGCCCTCACTCAGTCTCGAAGACCTCTGGGAAAAGCGGTTAGGTGAGCAGAGAGCGTAGCTGAGCAGGAGTTGGCCTGTGCCACCAGCCCCTGGCCTCCCTATTCATGCAGTGTGCTGCTATTAACCACTTCTCTAACACAGAAAGCCCTTATAGGGTCAGCAAATGCCTTTCCCAGAGCTGAGCTGCAGCCTGCCAGCCTCCCCATCTGCCTCTGACTCCGTGTAGCTCCTGGGGCCTTCCAGAAGGCCCCTCTGCTGGCATCCCAGGCATTCTCTCATGCTTGGCGGCAGCAGGCCCTGGCTCCGACACAAAATCCACAACGAGGGCCCAAAGCTAACCAGACCCTTCTTCAAATTCTGAAATAGATCCTAATCAGCTCTCCCAAAGCCGAGATGTTAGCAGACGCTGGGAGCCATAATTTAAACTTTATGTGCGAGGATTACAGTAGCCTGCCAAACCACCATGCAGGAAGAAAACTTTGAAATATGAAACTCTTTTAAAGGAGGAAGAATCCAAATGAGTCCCTCTCCTTCCCTTCAGCTCCTGACTGGGCTGGAAGATGCCTGGGCCTGGCGCCTCTTCAAGACAATCATACAGGCCTGTTTATGAGGAGAAAGTTTAATTGTTCAGAGGTGCAGGAGGGATAACAACTTTGTATGTGACTTGCACCTTCAAGAAATACCTTCAGCTCATTGAGCCAGCCTGGCTTGCATGGAAAGACAGCAGAGATGCCTAGGTGTTTTTCCTTTGGAAGAAAGACACCCCCCTGCCCTCATTTAGGGCTCCAAGCTCCTCCCTCCCCCAACCTCTCTCATGCCCTCCTCCTGTCCCCCCTCCTGTCTGTCTGTTTGCCGTTCGCCAAAACACACAGGCCAGTGACAGGGAAGGCTCCGCATCCTCCTCCACTGCTTTCAGCCAAGGACCCTCCACTTCCTCTCCTCTCTATCCTTTTGCAAGCCGAGATGGCTTGGAGCAAAGGGAAGTGCCACCGCTTTGCCAGCCCTGTGGCGAAGGCCTGGACCTGACTGCCCCAGTGGCGAAGAGGAGGGCTGCAGCATGTGTTCGCCGCCTCTCGGGAAAGGGCTGCCTCAAACTCTGTCAGCTGGGGCTGTTCCAAGAGCCTGCTGCTTTCGGGCTGGCTTTGGGTTCATGGTTTTTATTTGAGAGCATTACTTCTGACCTCAAGCAGAAACGCTTAGAAAAATAAATCTGTGAAATGGCTCAGAGAATGTGTAAGGTTTGGCAGCCCCTCCGG